GGACTAGCGAGTATTGTGAAATCTGCTCCAAGAACTTCTGTTACTTGGTTAGAAAGTAAGGCCTCATGAAAAGTTGATAACAATTTGCCTCAGAAAAAACACTCAACAACTCGGAAAGTAAAGGTCACAATGCACTTTCAACTAAGTTTCTAACATCTGGCAACCATCCTACTTCTTTAAAGCTGATGATATTGTAGATGTTGCATCTACTAACATCAGCCATCCTAACTGTGTGGAAAATCGAGCAACTGTCGTCCAAAATCTTATTGACATGAAAGTGCTTGTTAGCTTGGAAGGTGAGAGTCACAGCACGTTTTTGGTCCCACTAATCTTGTGATAAACAAACTGTCCTAACTTTGTAATAATTAGTGGTAATCACACAATGCAGTGCATCATTTTATGGTAAAACACCATTTGACATCTCGGAAAACAAGAAATGCCACTTTCTTTCCGCCATTGATCTCACAATTAGTGACTATCCTAACTGCTCATCTGGTAACCAATCCTAGTCATAGTGATTAGGAGGTTGTCGTTGTCATCTCAGCTGACCACTAGAGCTGTCTGGATTCTCTACTCCAGGCACTTCCTCATCTGACTTCTCTTGTACAGCCAAATAAATACTTTCAGCATCTTACTCTCATAAGCTGGATTGAGATGATACAAAACAGCACACTCATCGTCTTCTGATTATTTGGTCTCGACCTTTGATTACTGGCCAAGCCAGTGCATGAGAAATCGTCTAAAAGCACATTCTTTCCTTGTTGTTCCACTTACTTATGCTGCCATGTGACTACTGTATGTCGTATTTCATGTGTGGACCATTCTTTTAAAATGCAAAACAAGGAACTCTCTAGCCAAAGTCGAGCTGCTTCCATGCCACTGGCATCTACCAAAGCCATGTCCAGACTCTATGCTGGCATGTTTGTTTCTTAACTGTTATATTATAACAAATTTTCTGCTATAAGGTGGCATTTCCTATTTTTGTACATACAAGCCTTAGCCACTCCACATATTTTGCTCTGGAGGTGGAATTTGCATCACATCCACACGAAACAGTAATTTATGACCAAATGTGAAAATGTTCAGAGAACAACTTGGTTTCTGTTCTTGCATGGTATGCTGTCAAGATTGACGGTAAACGTTTTTTTCCAGTCAGTTTGGCTGGGATTGGCTAATTTTTTACAAACATTTGTTTGATAGTGCAAAGTGCACATCTTCATCACACCCTACACTTGACAGAATTAAGACAATAGCTGGCTATTGAAAGTAGTTCTCTGATTTATGTGAAGTTCTTCAGGTGTACCCAATTGGGTTATTCAGTGTTACAACAACACATCAGTAAGAAGGTTTGTTTCGATTTTCTGATAAGTGAATGCACTTAATTGCATTAATGTCTTCCAGTATTTTGTATTTTGTCAACCATCTTCATCTTTATTATTAGACGTCGTTTTCCTCATCATGAATCTATTCACAGACGTATCCAAGTTCGAATTGTTTGGTAACAACCAGTGATATTTTTGCTCGACAGGGGAAGAGGAAAACACCATCATAGTCAATATATAGCATGTACAGTGAATCATGAGGGAATATCAATACATGCTTCAATTAAACGTATATATGATCTGCACAAGACTGAGGGTACCCTGACTGTTGACAAGTACAGTCACATTACAGTGTATTATGCCACTACCTCAAAAACACGACTTATCGAAGGCTCCAAGCATGAGGTAGAGAGAGCCACGAGGCATGCACAATAATGGCTTGATGTGAACAAATTACAGATATAAAACATTTTTGAAGCTGTATGAACTTATGTAAAATTTGAAAAGGTTAAAAGGGGCCTAAAAAACTTGACTGAATTGTGGGGAGAAATACAGGAGATCTGGAACAAGTTTTTACACTCTTACATTGTAAAAACAAGGTGGATGCAAAGGGCTCAAATACAAAATACTAATATATTGTATAATTGAAAATAATGGACTTTTACTGTTAATCTTTAGTAAACGTCATGGTAGAGGTTCTGCCTAGCTCCTCGGTGATACTAATATCTACACTTCGAAGAGAACAATAAGTTACAATAATTGGAAACACAATTGACCACTTCTGATACATATAATTGACACACCTAACCAGTCCTGATATATCTATATATATATATATATATATAT